CTCTCTCTCTCTCGTTTATATGGAGATTGCAGCCTATTCGCTTTTTCTCCGACGTGCAGCGCCACCTTAGTTGTTAAAGCGACCCGATCGATGAATATACTGTTCTAGAAGGTAGACATGATACCTCGAGGACATGTCGGCCTGTGGCCAATACAGAGGAGACAATGTACGCACAGTCTGTAAATTCAGTCGTAAGTGTTTCAGTAGGTCCATGCGACTCGTAGTATACTCTGGACACCTTAGCCAGAAATGTTCAGTAGTTTCTGCCTCCCCACAGAACAAACAGTTAGGGGACGGGACAATACCACGCGAATAAAGAAAGTCATTGAGTGGGGCCGTACCAGTCCGTAGTTTCGCCAGGAGTGTTTCCGCTTGCCGCGATGAAGCGTGGTGATAAGGCCACGGGTGAAAAGGACGGAGATACTCCCTACCCCTGTTCCTATGGACCGCAGCCCAGCGGTCCCGTAACAAATTACGTGTGTCTTGCCATACCGACCGATGAATGTCCTTAGGCAACAGCGGGCCCCTCCAGGAACCGGTTAAATTCGCTCCCTTCGCTGCCTTACCCGCGTCTTCGTTGATTGCAATACCGACGTGCCCCGGAGTCCATAACATCACAATAGGCTGAGGAAAGGACGAGACAGCCGCCGCAATATCGATGATGATCGCTTCCGAAGTATACCCCACGTTAGCCAACGCCTCTAGCACTGAACGACTGTCTGTACATAAAATGGTCGGACTAGGGTTTTGGGAAAACAAAGCCAACCCTCGCAAAACACCAGCAGCTTCCGCTCAGAAAACCCCACACTGAGCGTCCAGTTCCCACAACTCACTCCTCCGCCCCTCCGATATGAAGACGCCCATCGACGTCCGATTGGGTGACTTCGACCCATCTGTCCCGATTAAAGCCCACCCATCGCGGTATTTGCGCATCCACTCGTCGAATGTCACCCTGTCCTCGCCAGGTAAACGAATACTCCCAGTCCTGAACACGTCAATGTTTATCCACGAGCCCATCTGCTCGACAGAAGGCGGCAGATTCTGTTGACGATAAATGTTCGTAATCGCTATCCCGAGATTCCGTAAATGGGAGACCGCCCTGATCACGTAAGGTTCCTGGTACCTCCGCCATCTATAGTGATCCAGACCATGCCTTTTCGAATAAATACGATAGAGCGAGCTAAAATGGCCCCTCGATATGTGCGTGACTATATGTCTGATCGTCCTTAAGTTAAGACGTGCTTTTAAACCAATGTAGTTCGCTTCCGTATACATCGCTAGCAGCGAAGTAGTTAGTGGCACCCCGAGAGCCGCCCTAAGGGCCATGTGGATAGGCTTTTTGATCCGGTTGATGACTGACGGTTGCGCTCCGTCCAGGAGAGGCGCCCCGTATTCCGCCATCGGAAGGAGAACCGTATTGATCAACTGAAGTAGATTTCTCTGACGCGCCCCATTCCGCCGAGAAGCAAAATAAAGGAGGTACGAACTCGCTCTTGTTAATTTATTACGAAGGAAACTTTCGTGCTCCCTCCATGTGAACGTCTCATTAAGAAACACCCCCAGAATTCGCATTGACNACTTGGTAAGTAATCCTACAATTTTTTGTTTATAGCATAGTTTATACGGATTATTTCCAAAAAATTATACATGTTTTGGAAATGTTGAGTCGAATTAGTCTAGAATCGGTTAATTTTATGGAAGAAAACGTTTCAAACAGCCTTAGTCCGTAAACTTCATACGTGTCGGGCTGTGATTGGCTCATGTATTTAAGGATTCCTACAACGTAAAATTCTTATAAAGTGGAACGTATTTAAGCGTTATAGGGGAGTCTACTGTATATAATTTCACCTGGTAATGCTATAAAAGCGGGGCCAGGTATGTACAAATTTGTACTAATAAAGCAACGATTGATTAATTGATTGATTGATTGGATTGAATCATCATGCATCTCGCCATCTCAACGAGAGTTCTGTTTGTTCATTCGGCTATTCCGTTTTGTTGATAAGTATGCTCGACTGTCAACTGCCTCCTTATTCCGTTTTCTCCAAGATAATTAGTAAATTCTTTTGACAAGTATTCTTTTGCGTTGTCGGTACAAAGCCTTTTGATTCTCTGACCATTCTTTATGATTTAATAGATAGTTTTGTAAGATTTTTAGACATAAATTTTATTTTTAATTTTTTATCTGATATAGTCGTGTGTTAGGCTTAACTCGATCACCTATTTTAAAAATTCACATCGTTGAAAATATTATAGAATCCATCAAAATTATTTGCTGATAGTTTAGTTATAAATGTTTTTTCTGCATGAAATGAAGCGATCGAAAAAATAATGGGTGAACCATCAAAAATTTGGCAATTTACATGTTGTCGATTCTGTAAATTTTCTTCATAATATAAAATCTTCACAAAATAATACTTAAAAAATACATCCATGTCAATACCTGAATGTTACAAAAATGCAATTATCAAAAATTTTCTAATTTTCACAATTTGTATTATCATAATTTATTTTTGTGTTTTCCTGTCGCGCGTTGCGTATTGCGCGACAAAAAAGTCGTAACGCGATTAAATGCAGCGATTTCATTTATAATTACTTAAAATGTAGTTTACGCTCTCGTTTTAGTTTTGTTTTGTTGTTTAGCGATGAAAAATGAATAGATAATAATTGCAGATAATAATTAAAAGTATTTTTATCAGATTAATGTAGATTATTAGAATTTAGAATAATGGTAGCTACGCAATACGATTGTCGCGTAGTTGTAATTTACTACTTTATATCTAATTCCATAATGTTTAGGGCCTAATTAGCTAACTTCTAGTTTTTTTTTATTTCGTTTGATCTAGTAAGCATCTTCTCAGAATTGTCTGGTGGGAAATTGACTGCGATAAGAATTACTCCTTCTTTTAATGTCAGAATGTAAATAAATGTTAGTTAATCGCCATTTTCATCTTTTTTAGCTCTAATTTCGCTAATTTTCATTTTTATTGACGTTATTTAAACAAATGTTTGCTTTGTCAGAAACATTCAGGAGTAAAATTACCAGAATTACGGCTCTAAAATGAAGAAGATAGCTATTTGTAACGTTTGCTTACATTCTGACTTTAATCACGTGGATTGGTTCTTTGCGGGAATGTCCAGACCAGATGGTTCTGAAAAAAATTCTCATTCGTTGAACTTAAATCATTCATAATATAAAATACCAATTATAGCGTAATAGGCGTAGAAACAAAGATTTTAATGCCAATTAACAGCAAGAACATCTTCCATAGACTTACTATAGAGAGTTGGAGTTTCCCGGGAATATTTGTTGCTAGATAGTTTTAAAAGCACATTTAATTGCCTAAATATTGTCGAATTAGTTAACTTAATGTCTAAGTACATTAAATTATTTATATAGAACTAAAAATCGATTTAGAAAGCAAATTTAATGTGATTGTTTACATTTCACTTTAAAGGTCGGAGGTGGGACTTTTCACGGCAATATTTTCCTTTCACAAGTCTGTGATTAGTCTGTGAAGATACCCAATGAAACTTTAGAAGTTTCCATTTGATTGTTAGTATAGTATGTATAATGGTAGGGGGATGTATTTACCGAAATATTTATTGGCCAGGGGTGGTAACAAAACACTTATTGGCTTAAACGAAATCAATCGACCTAGAGAAGAGCAAATTAAAGCTAAGATGGTTGAAAAACTCCAATATAACGCAAATTAATCAAATTTTTAAGCAATTCACACCTAAAGGTGTACTTCGCATCATCACTTAACGTAAAAGTCACGTGACATACGCCTAAGGGCGTCTACTCGCAATAAATAGACACCTCAAAACAAATCAATTTTAGCCTAATTTTTAAGGAAAAATAGCAATTTTATTTATTTATTTATCCGAAAAATACTATTCACTTTTGGAATTCTTTTTTGTAGCTAAAGGATTTTATATTAAAAAAAAAACAAACAAATGAAACTATAAAACAAAATTTAATTAGAAAGATACAAAGAAACTTATTATTTTTGTTTTTATATAATATTTGTAAACATTCTAAAGATAATACGCTAACAGAAAATAAAATACATTTACTGGTTGATATGTAAAAACTAAATAATATCATAATTATTATTTTAGGATTTATGCTCGAAACATTTAGCATTCAGAATAGGAAAAAAATTCCTTCGTTATATATTTGTTGTTAGTTAAAATGTTGGTTTCTTATTTCTATTTAACACAATCTTTACATATTTGAACTGCATGTTTCAAGCATAGATACTTTTTGCATTTTACACAGGTATATTTCGTTTTTCTATCTTTCCGTGACTTACATTCAGCACATCATCTTCTCTTTTCTTCAACACATTCCGTAGACAAATGTGAAGGCCCGGCTTCAGGAACTGACGGAAATACCCTTTCCGCTGTCGTCGTTCTGATCGTTTTCGAAAGATTTAAAATATATTTTCTATTTGTGGCGTAGTAAACACTAGTATTGTGTTTTGTTCCAAAGACACATGACAGATTTTCCATCAAATTCCTTTATTAGTTGAGTCGATACGGTACATTGTTTTGTACTCGTTTCGGGCTTTGCTCCTCTTCAGTCAACTAAAATACAATATATATATTTTACCTTATTACAGTGGAGAATTTACATAAAATAATGAGTACATAAACGATATATAGACGTACCTTTTGGTTAAACTTTGTATAATTTAAAAACATGTAAAATTTGCTTTAATCTTTTGTAAATAAACTAGTATATATTAGAAATTAAAAGGTTAAAATCTTCTAAAATCTTCTCTTTTAGGCATATATTGATACAACACAACTGTAAAAAAATTTTTAGCTGTTTCCGCCCCCTTTTTACCTTCCATCCCCCTTTTGATTTTTTCTTTTGCGCTGGTATCTCAATTGTTGCCACGTGTGACGTTCGCCATCTTGTGGTTTGATTTTTACCAAAATCTGTATGGGAAAATTTATTTCTAGGAGAAATTGCTTTTCACAGTAAAATAATAAAAAATAAATAAAACTTATTTATAATATATTAATCCAGTTTTCGTTTATTTTAAGGCTTAAGTTTTTATTTATACTGTCTGTACTTTTCATGATTTCTATGGTTTCTTTAAACTTCCTGTTGTATGTTAATTTTTCTTTATGCAGTATTTCTACGTTGTCTTTATCTATATTACAGTTGTTTATAGTACAATGTTCGTAAAATGCAGAATTTATTCTATTGTATTTTAGGTCCGCTATGTGTTCTTCAGTCTAGTTTTTACTTTTCTTTTTGTTTCTCCTATGTAATGTTTTTTATTTGCGCAGGTACACGGAATTTTATATACTACACAAATATAAAACAGGACACGGTTTCAAAAAACAAATCAACATTTTCTATTATCAATATGCTCGCGCATTACAATGATAGACAGTTCTTTCAAATATTCTCTTCTATTATTCAATTTGGACGTATTTTCGTTTGCTTGGTGAATAATATAGGAATTAATTACTGCTAAATTTAACATAAAGTAAAAAATGATCATAGGCCATCGTCTGGTGTTTCATACGCAATTATAATTCCTGGTTAAGTGGTCCACGGTATCTACTCCCCCTTCAGTTCTATTATAAAAGGATATTATTTCTGGCTTTGCCGCTAGTCCCGTTTCCTAATCAATTTCTTCACTATGATGTAATGACGACAAAAGCAATACATTTTTTTTTTCTTTTTTCGGCACATAGGAGACCAATGTGATCGCCTTAGTAAATGCAAACTTACTACTGTTTACTTTTCTATTTTTTAAATTTAAAAATTCTGCAGGAATTTCTTTTCTATTTTTTCTTATGGTACCAACTAGCGTTAACCTGTCTTCCAATAAATCTGTAGTCAAACTGAAACTCGTGAACCAGTTATCGGTAATTATATTACGGCCGCTGTTAACTATAGGTGTAGTTAATTTTTTCACTATACTGTCCGCAGAATTCGATACTGAGAAGGGTTTATCTGGCTGTTTTCCGCAGTAAGCCTCTAAATTATGCGTATAAAACGTTTTACTGTCCACCAGCAAGAATATTTTTATACCGTATTTATTCGGTTTACTTGGTATATACTGGCGGAATCCGCACCGCCTTGTAAACTCTTCCAGTTTCTCATCTATGGTACAGTATTCTGATACATAATAATTTTTTATACAATTATTCGTAAATACATCTAAAAAATTTCGGACTGCTGCTAATTTATCAAAATTAGTCTTTCACCCCGCGTCTGTTATCAAATCGGAGATTTGCTAACAAACAGCGGAAATGTCTCTCCGACATGGCCATTCTTGCGATTTCGAATCCTGTACCGTCTATTGTCTACATTTCGTTCACGTGACAGCAATTAACTTTTTTATACGCAGCGAGGTACAATAAACCGATTTGAGCTTTTATTTCCTGCAGATCTGTTGTACAGTACTTGCATCACGTTCTCTTCTGTAATGCGATTGCACTTTTTCTATTTGTTGGTTCGTATGTATGACTATGGTATCTAAAATGTCATCTGTTACGAAGGGATTCCAACATTCAAAAGTAGACCTCGCGTTTGTGGCCTTACCAATAGGACCAGGTTTAAAATAAATCAAGTTCTCTCTTCTTGTCTTTGTTGCAAGATATTCCCACATACTCCATCTGGTCCCATCGAGAGCTAGGAAAGAACAATGCTCATTTATTTGTGATGACGAGGCTTCAACTTGAGATGATGAGTCAACTGTAGGTGTGCAGACTTCTAATATAACTTCGTCTTCCTCTTGCTCGCTATCTGTGTTCTCTAATCTATCTTCTACAAAGTCACATTCTTCTTCCGAAGAAACATCTTCATATACTATATTCTCCATCTCTGAATCAATAAAAAAATCTCCGTACATCTTTACTTTACTGTATACAAGGCACTCAATTGTGAACCGCCAAGGAGGTCGGGAACCGTCGACTCACCCTTTTCGGCTACAGGTCGTTAAACCTGCTCACTTGTCAAGATGGATAAATTTCGAATGCGGTCCCGAAGGGTCGGGATTCTTTCTGTCAGGTCGAGTGGAGGAGGTGAAAGGGTCGTCGACGAGGCGTAGGCGATATACGAGTAAAAGGACACCATTTAACAATGAAACAACAATTTATTAGATTAACGAAAAGAAAAAAATTAAAAAATACAAAATCTAACATCTGGGGAAATGAATTTAGTTCGCAAGCTCCTAACTCGCGGAGAGAAAGTTTACATTATTTTTTTCATACTTCTAGTAGATTCAACGTAGGCACAGAGTTCGACGCACAAAGTAAAAATTTTCGGAGACGTAATCCTTTCCGACCGTTGATGTGAGACTCCCCCGAGGAGGGGGAAAGAAGTCGCTTTTATAGCTTCGGATAGGGTAAATTAGTCAGGTGATCTTCTATTGTGTGAGGTAGAGTTGGTCCTGCAGGTGTGGAGGTTAAAGTTGTTCCCTGGACCAAAACAAAATGACGAATTCGGACTTTAACTATAAACTTTTTGTCTTGCAGCAGAGGAATGTCATTGTTCGAGGGTTGAATGTTTATATTAACGATGAAAGTTATAAGTTGCGATCGATATATCGATCGTAACTTATATCAGGAGGGTGAATTATATGATCCTTTTTTCTGACAATGTTATTTTAACGACGAGGCGACAAATTTATTTCAAATACGTCGAAAATTTATGGGGGCAATGAACAATTTTGGGCTTATTTTGAGGTCGGATCTCACATTCACTCCACGGTTTCTTTAAAATCGCACTTATAATAGTGTGATTTTAAACCTTTTGATTCTTCTGTCTGGGTAGAGGTATGTTTACATAGATAAAAATTGTTTTTCTCTCTCTTGGCAAAACAAAAAAATAAAGTTTCTTTTGGTTATTAAGATGCCGCATTAACAGCAATAAAAGAAAGTGATATGAAATTTAACAGTGTAGCTATACAAAATAAATCCCGGCACGTGTCACTCGCAACAATATTTATTGCCAGTAGTTGAAGGACGGGTGTTTTCGTACTGTAAAGGTTGATTGGTCAGTTGAAGTTTTCGTTGACCTGGATACGAGGGTAACGGTTCAAAGTTCGAGAAGGTTGAGTGTCCGTTAGACAGTTTTTGGAATTCCTTTGTTCTGGTGAGCTGGATGGTTCGTGGAATGATCTTCACTGTGAGAACGTATGGATATTAATTATGTAGGATGCTGGAAAACTAGATTAGTCGGAAACACACTGTCGACGCTAGTAGGGTTGGCTTTTTTATGCGTTGAGGTCCCAGGAAAATTAGTTGATCAGCTGTAGCTTCACGTGAATCCGATGTCTTTCGTGACGAAGTGGCACTGTTCTTGTATTTAAAAAAATAAAGGTTAGTAATGATTTAGTTGTTAAAATTTGTCCTCGAATTTGGACTAGAGGTATTTAGATGGATACATCATGCGTTGGTGTACTCTCTCTCGGTAATCTATCTCTAATTATTGAAGAAAAAAATCCTTTGAAATCTTATAAACCAAAAGATTTAATATCCTAGCATTCGAATATATTTTATGATACTCTACGAATATACGAAAAGCTAATTTTCTCGTAAGAAAAAAATTATAACTAAGAAATATAAAAAGGATTAAAATATATATGTGGTTATATGATTGTTGTTGAGAGACCCCCTTAATATGATAGAACAATAGGCTTTGGGGGTGGTTGGGTTGGGATGCCTCGGGGCTTCACTTCTTGGGAAGGGAGTGGTTCGGCACTTGTCTGAGGGGGACTTTCAATCTCCTGGAGGGAGATTTCTTCTGGGTTGTCCTCTTGTGGTTGTTCTTGAGTTGTTGTACGAGTTTTCTTGCGTCGTAAATAATAACAAAGGACGCTAATAAGGCAAGATACACCTATGATAGCACCAAAACAACTAGTGAGTATCGTTGTTAGAGAAGGAGTGTAGGACATTGGAGATGATTCGGTTGGCATTTTTAGCAGGTGATCAAGGTCATAGTGGACGTTTGATAAGGATCGGTCTGCTAATTTCATATCGTAATCTGAAGTCCCTTTTAACATTTCTTGTATTTGGGGTTCCATGAGTCGTTTTCGAAGTAATTGTACCTCTGTTTGATTGACGAGCTGTTCGATTTGTGGGACGACTAAATGTTGTGCAATCTCAAGCTGTAGAGTAGATTGCATTCGAAAGTGCGAGGTGAGGATGAGGCCAGGCAGATAGCCTGTACATGCATTTGGGCGATTAATCTTGCCAGTGTTATTTAATTTATGAGTCGTAGAGGTGGAAGGAGATTTCTGATGTCGAGCTGGACATCTAATAGTTAATGTGAGAGGTTTGGGAGTGGAATAAATTTATATCCCTTGTTGATCTTGGTGTGTATTGTCATCGGAATTAGATTAAGAAGGATGGAAACGGATTCCTATGAACAAGTATAACAAGCATGTCTTTATTGAATACGGAACGGTACAGAACTGACTGCGATGCGCAGGCACGCACCGCAGTCAGTTCTGATCCTTTCATCTTTCATTTGCAGTCATTACATGTTCATTCTGATAATGGCCCTCAATTCACATCTCGTGAATTAAGAATGTTTTTAGCACAGAACGGAATTCGTCAGACATTCTCTTCGCCATACCATCCTGCAACTAATGGAGCAGTTGAAGGATTTATCAAAACGTTTAAGTCGTCCTTAAAAAAATTAAGTCGTGAAAAGGATTTAATGACATCCCTCCTCCAATTCCTTACTTCATATCGTACTACTACTCACTGTTCTACTGGTAAAACACCTAGTGAAATGCTATTCAACAGAAAACTTCGCTCAAGACTAGATTTGTTGCACCCTTTAACCTTATCGGATAACAACGTAGTTCGTCCACAGCGTTTTCATGATAGGAGACACAATTTTTGCTCCACGAATTGATCTCTTAAACGTGAAGCAAGGCAATCTCCAAAATCACACATTTCACTTAATGATTTTAACCCGACTATGAAATCATTAATCGATTCTCCTTCTCTCTGTACCCAGCAAGTAAAATTTGCTCTCTCGGAAATTATACTAACTGATTTATTTTTATGAGATCTCATTATACTTTTTAAATCAGAAAATGTCTTCGAAGAAGGTTTATCTGGTTGACAAAGGTTCCTTAACAATTTATAAGCCACTGGTCTCATTTGACTAAGAAGAGTAGCCACCATTTTTCTATCGTAGGTGATATTGGATGCTATAAAGAATTCTTCCAATTGTTCAACATATTCATCCCAATGACTATTTACGTTGTACGGGTTAACGTTAATCGCATATGCCATTTTCGAATAAAGGAAAGAGAACAATAATAATAAGCAATTCGGTAACTTACGGGTCGAAGGTTCAAAGTCTAGCTGAATATAGCCACGTGTTGACTTCGTCGAACTGGTCGAGAAAAAATAAATAAACGTCAGTATTCTTGAATAAAATTGAAGAAATATATTATCTTTAATCCACCTCGTCGCCAGAATTGGTGTGTATTGTGGTCGGAATTAGATTAAGAAGGATGGAAACGGATTCTTATGAACAAGTATAAAGCCTGGTACCCACATTCGGCAACGGATGACGGAAACGGTTGCCGTTCCGTCGTCTTTCCGTACCGCACGTACTCACATGCGGCAAATACTCTACAATTGAAACGCGCGCCCTCTGCCCGCTGTAAATATAAACAGCTACCGAAAATGGCGTCGACGAAAACTGTGTTGTTATACCAGTTAAACTTTTTAAGTTTACTTACAATGATAGCTCAAATCAAAAAGCCACAAAAGCGAAGATTTTGGGTGCGAAAAATATTTCGATATCGTTCGAAATTAGGAGTTTCGAACACTTTGGTACCCGAGTTAAGATTAAACGATCCCGAATACTTCATGCAGTAAGTACTGTACAGTACATCTATTTGACATGGATATTTAATTCGGATAGTAATACTATATAGCGAATAAATGAAATATATTTTATCTAAATGTAGGTTTCTCCGAATGCCCATCGAGACATTCGCAAAGTTATTGCGATTAATTGAGCCTGATATAACCAAACAAAATACCCGATGGCGTGATGCTATATCAGCTCACGATCGACTATGTTTAACATTAAGATAAAATGAATTATTTCAGACTGCAAGTAGTAATCAATCCTATTATAATCATCTCGATGTTGTCACCTTCATATGTTAAAGCTGAATTTTTAGTTTTGGAAGAATATTTTAAAACATTTTTATGGAGAAAATGCATATTTATTGACTTTTACAGCCTATTATTTTTATATATTCTAATATTTTGTATTAAAAAATCAAAATACGAATTATAATGTATAATAAAAAAGGAAATGGATAAAATAATAACGTTAACTTTTTAGCTATAGTACAGAACCAAACATTTATAATCTGCTTATATAATTTCTATTACAATAAAAACAGTTGGCCAATACTATAACAAAATAATTATTGCTAGTTTGTTATTAATTTGTGTGATTCTCATTTGAGCGAAGTTA